GAAATACAGATGCAGTTGGTATAATACTTAACCAAACTAAAAACAAAACATTTTATGTCATGAATAATATCTACATTCTTATCTTTAAAAACCTTCCCTTTTCTGTATCATTATGGATTTACTGTCACAAAACAAAACTAAAAACAAACAAAAAAAGGCAAGCGTTAGATAAAAAATTGTTTGAAGCAATTTCAAAGAGATCAACAGTAAATTTTATCAATTTGATAATTTTGTATTGTTACTGTCAAGCAAGAATAAAAAAATGAAGTATTATTAATTGAAAACTACACTCATGATTCTTCCCTAGCCAGATGTTTTCTTTTGTCAAGATATTCTGAAGAAAAAAATGTATTAATTTTCAATCAATTTATTTTTATTTCAAATTTTTAATTAATTTTTAATTAATTGTTTTTAAAGATTTTATTTATGTCAGAGACAGAGAGCATAAGAAGGGGGAGCAGCAGACACAGCAGACAGAGGAAGAAGCAGGCTCCCAGCTCAGTGAGGAGCCCTGTGTGGGACTCATTCCAGGACCCTGAAATCATGACCTGGGCCAAAGGTAGATGCTTAACTGGCTGAACCATCCAGGCATTTCTGCACCGTTTTTAATAATTGATTTTATTTAACCAATGCACTTAGATTTAAAAAAAGTATTTTGTTAGAATTCCTGTTAGAATAAATATTAAAAATAGTATTAGACCTGTAAGTGCAATGTGAATGATTTCAAATAAAAGATGCACCTGTCAGAGACAAAATTTCTAAGGATGGCTTCATTGATTTCATTCATACTGTTTTATTCAGAACAGTTCAGATTAGCAGCAGCAGCCGCTGGTAGTCAATGAAACTCTTTTCCACCTACTCTCCTGCTGGGCTTACCGTAGGCACAAAGAGACCAAAATGACCAAAGTCAAAGCATGTTAGCACTTCCAGGTTTTTTGCTCGAATGATTTTTTTTTTTTTTAAATTCCAGTGAAGTTAACATACAGTGTTATATATTAGTTTCGGTTGTACAATATAGTGATTCAACAATTCCATAAATCACACTGTGCTCATCATACGTTCCCTCCTTACACCCATCCTCTATTTCACCCAACTTCCCACCAACCTACCATCTGGTGACCATCAGTTTGTTTTCTATAGCTGAGTCTGTTTCTTGGTTTGCCCCTTTCCCCCATTTGTTTTGTTTTTTAAATTCCACATATGCATGAAATCATATGGTATTTGTCTTTCTCTGACTTATTTTGCTTAGCATTATACTTTCTAGCTTCATCCATGTCATTCCAAGTGGCATGATTTCATTTTATGACTGAATAATATTCCTATAGATATATAATCTCCTCTTCTTTATCTATTCATTTATCCATGGACATTGCTGCTGCTTCCATAATTTGGCTATTGTAAATAATGCTGCAATAAACATAGGGGTGCATGTATTCCTTTGAATTAGTGCTTCTTTGATTTCTTCACTTGGATATTAGGATACAAAGTCAGCTTTGGTAAAAGGTGTCTAGAATAACCACACAGATTATAGTAGTTAGCCATCTCACACCAAAGCTCAAGCTGGTACACAGGCTCCAACTCATGAAGTCTTCAGGAACCCACCTTGTTGTACCTCCAAAATAGCTCACAACCCTTTCTACAGTCTGATCATCAGAAAGGGACAAAGGAAAAGAGGCATCCCATTTATTTTAGAGTATCATCTGGAAGTTGCTTACATCATTTTTGCTCACGTCCCACTGGCCAGAACCTTACTGACATGGCCATACTTACTTTACTATAGGCAACCATATGTCCAGCTAGATAACTCCATTATCATGGATGAAGAGGAGAATGCATATTAGGGGTCAACTAGCAGTCAATCTCTACTACAGATATCCACTCCAGAGATATAGGCATCTCTAATTCAACATTTGCGAAACCCAATTACTGCTCGTTCTTCCAAAACTTGCAGTTCTTCAAAATAATTTCCATCTCAGTTAATGGTGGAAAATGGAACAAATTAGTTCAATATTAAACACGCTGAGATTTAAGGTGCTGTAGAACATCCAGTACAAATTTCCAAAAAGAGTTTGAAGATATGTCTGGTTCTGAGCGAGAGCAGTGTCCAAGATTCAGACTTGATCCCTAACTGAAATAAGCGATAAAGGAAGAATGAATATATATATATATATATATATATATATATAGATAGATAGATAGTACTGGGACAGACTGTATCATACAGTGGGTAAAAAGAACTGAGGATTGAGAGGAAGAACATTCTGCAAAGAAGACTTGAAGAAGAGGGCCCAAGACAGAGAGAGAGGCTAGAGAAAGCAGGATGATGGAACCAAGGGAGCAATTTCCAGGAAGCAGTAGTTATCAATGGGGAAACCTGCAAAAAGGTCAGGTACAATGCAAATTGAGAAGCAACTTTTAGATTTGGCCTTTACGCTATTACAGACAGCTATATAGTAAAATAGGGACAAATGTTAAATTTCAGTAGTTGATGAGGGACTTAGAAAGAAAAGACAATCCAAGTACAGATAGCTCTTCTAAATAGAAGTGACAGAGTTAGCATAGCAAGAATTTATGAACAAGAGTGGGAACAACCGGGGCGCCTGGGTGGCTCAGTGGGTTAAGCCTCTGCCTTCGGCTCAGGTCATGATCTCAGGGTCCTGGGATCGAGCCCCGCATCGGGTTCTCCGCTCAGCGGGGAGCCTGCTTCCTCCTCCTCTCTCTGCCTGCCTCTCTCTGCCTACTTGTGATCTCTGTCAAATAAATAAATAAATCTTAAAAAAAAAAAAAGAGTGGGAACAACCAAGGGACTGAGTCTTGAGGTCTCACCCCTCACCTGCCAGTACCCCTACACCCTCCTCCCCCCCAAAAAAAGCTGTAGGAAGAAGGATGGCCTGTAAGACAGGAGATCAGGGTGAATACAAATTTAGGTAGCCCTGTAAGAATTAACGGTGGAGGTGTAGAGGAGTTCACGAAGTGTGCAATGCTAAACAATGGTATTGATAATACTAATACTACTATTACTAAGCCCTTACATTTACTGAGCACTTAGGCCAGTCAATGTGCTAGTAATTTTTATGAGCAACCATCACAAAATTTGAAAATGGGTAAGACAAAGAGCATAGTGAGGTCTTGAATCAGGCGTGACACTAATATCAGACAGAATACCTATTAATGAACTAAAAAAGCCTATGCGTAATTTCTCCATATTCAGAGGAGGAACTGCAATCCTTCTTGATTTTAGTAAAGATCGGGATAGTCATTCTAACATTTAAGAGCAGATTTATTGGGGCACCTGGGTGGCTCAGTGGGTTAAGCCTCTGCCTTCTGCCCAGGTCATGCTTTCAGGGTCCCAGGGTGGAGCCCCACATCCAGCCTCACATCAAGCCCCACATCTGGCTCTCTGCTCAGAAGGGGGCCTGCTTCCCGCTCTCTCTCGCTCTCTCTGCCTGCCTCTCTGCCTACTTGTGATCTCTGTCTGTCAAATGAATAAGTAAAATCTTAAAAAAAAAAAAAAAGCAGACTTATTTCTCTTCAGTCTTTTTTTTTTTTGGTACTCGGGAATTTTGATGCACCAGGTTATATAAAATTTTATTTATTCAAGCAATTTCTACTTAAGGAGAATAGTTAAAATTATCTTCACAGGCTAGATACTGAAGTAACATATTGCTTTGATCATTTTAATAAAAATCTTTGAAGATTTTCATTCTCATTTGCCTATTTTGATAATATGCAAAGAAAATCCTTAAAAGATTACGATTTTAACTAGCCTCTTCTATAAAATCTAACTACAAATTATTTCCAAATGAGTATCTATAATGGGGGAAAATGAAAAAAAGAGGAAATAAGTTAAAATCAGACATGATTTAATACTGTCATTTATCATTAATTGTCCTGGGATAATTTAAGTTCCGCTAGCTTTTTTTTTTATAGTTTAAGTTTTTTAGTTGCTTATTAACTGGGAAGCAGTATACATAAATATATCCCTGACTTACAATGTTCTAAGAATGGCAGCTAAATACACCGCTATTTAAGACTGTTGATTTAAAAAAAAATTATTTGAATACTAGATGAATGGGATCTCATATAGTATTTTAGGGCTTAGTAAAGTTGCAAGCCCTTAAGACTATGAATTGTTAGTGATTCCACTGTATTTGCCAGTTAAGCGTCGTAGAGCCATAAAACAAACAAACAAACAAACAAACAACCCTTTTTGAATAAAAAGATGACCTTGATACTAAACATGAAGATGCATGGTTTTAAATGGGTTCAGTTGTCTTACGGATCAAAATTAGCATCCATCCAGCTTATGTTAACCCGAAGGCCACAATCTCTTTAACAACCACCTACGGAATGTCAAAACTGCGAGACGGACTTTCATCTCCTAGTAAACTAATGACATCGTATTGGAGAGAGGCCTGAGCAAATGACCTTGGTTCCCTGAAAGATGGCTCACACTTTCGGGGTACCTCTGCAGTATTTACAAAGGCAGCTCTGGGCGGAAAGGGGTTGGGGGTCAGAGGCCTGGTATCCGGAAGCTGCAGCCTCGCAGCGGGGCAGGGAGCTATCAAAGCCACCCCCGCCCCCGGCGGATTTTCAGAGCTGATGTGTCCCCCTAAAATCGGGCGCGTTTAAGTCCCAGCACATTCGACGACTTGTTTATACCAGGTGGCTCTCCAACACTCCCGGAGGCTCCAGGGGGCTTCCGGTGTGTACCCTCTTTTTTCGGAGCGGGGGGGTCCAAAAACAGCGGTGGTTCAAGAGAAACACTGACCCTCTACTCGATCCCAAGATGGCGACCAACCCTGGTTGGACTCCAGGGAGCCGCGAGCCACTTCCCCTTCCCAACTGCCTCTGCGCTGCTGACGACGGCAAGCAGGAAGGGGGAGGAGCCGGCAAGAGAGGGCGGGGATAACGCTGCGCCCCTCCGCGCGCACCCCGGCCCCGCCCCACGTCCCTGCGTCCGGCCCAGAGCTCTCGCCAGACCGGGCGGCGCGCGCTGCCTGCTGGGATACTCGGCCCGCCCAGCCAGTCCTCCCAGCTATCGCTGCGGGCGCGAGATCCGCGTTTTTCCCAAGATGGTGGCGCTCGGTTCGGGGTGACTGCAGGAGACGACAGAGCTTGAATCCCCTTCGCCAGAACCTCGACACATCACCTTCCTCCCGCTCGCGCACCCCGCTGCCACTTAGCTATCTACCGGCCTGGGCGCTCGCCTTCTGCTGCCGCCTCTGACTTGCGCTTCATCTCTACTAACCCAACGATTACGGCCGCGGGCAGCTGCGCCTCCCTCGGCTCCTCCTTGGGGTCGCTCTCGGAGCAGCTCGCAGCGTAGCTCCGGCTCAGAGGGCCCCACAGCTCCCCAGTGGGGAGAAGCAGCGGCGGAGCGGCGGCTGGCGACGAGCGCGGGGTTTTCTGCGGCCCCGGCGCCCCCTTTCCCGGCCTTAATCTCCGGAGAAGGAAGCGCGGGTCCCGCATGAGCCCCGGCGGTGGAGGCAGCGAAAGGGAACGAGGCGGTGGCGGGCGGAGGCGGCGAGCGAGGGCGACCGCTACCAGTGAGGAAGCCGCTGCTGCGAGGGCCACAGCCCAGGCGCGGGGGCGACAACAGGTCAGTGTGGCGGAGGACCGGCCCTGGGCCGGGGAGGCTGGGCGGCATTTCCCTTCGTTCTCTCTGTTGCCCAAACCACCCTTCGGGGCTGGCTCTGGCTAAGGTAGGGACGCTCCCAAACCGCGCCACCGCGAGTGTTTGGGGGCGCGTGGTTTGGAGGGGTCGGTGCCAGAAGTAGGCCTCTGGAAGCAGCGGCTGCTGCTATCGTAACTGTCAGTCCTGGCTGAGGGCCGGAGGGAGGGTTTTGTGCCTAAGGGGACGCCAGCGGGCCCGGGGCGGGGCGTGTAGGGCGTCGAGAGTTGGCCCTCCTTGGAGCGAAGCTCACGGAGCAGGCCCGGGCCCCAGGCAGGGCAGGGCTGCCCTTTTCTTTCCAAGGGGAGCTCTATTTTTCGAGGTTTGGGCCCTGTTGGTGAAAAATGTTTAGATGTGTGCTTTGGAGATGGACTGGTGGGGAGGGAGGGCGGATGAAGTGGGAAATCAAGCCCAAGGGTTATGTTCACAGATTATCGATTATCGGGATTTTCACATTAAATGTGAGGTATCGGGTTCGCCAAATATTCTGTTAAACGCAGACCTGCAAACAGTTGGCTTTTTTTTTTTTTTATTTTCCCTTTTTACTTGAGAAAATGAAAAGGACTCTTTCTTCGTCATGGCGTGGAGGTTTTGTTGGTAAAGTCAGAATTGAATGTGGCAAATGCTTTAGTCCATAAAATAGTTAGAAATAATTTTAACATAGACACTGAGCTTAGAATTCTTTGAAGATAATTTAGTCTCTGAATTTTAAAAAACGGCCAATTGGCATACTAAAATAGAATACTAAATCTGTTTCGGATTATATTTATTAAGTGCTAGGGTACTTTGGAAAATGTAAACGAATAGCAGTATGGGATTTACAATCTAGATTTATCCTCCATAAATCATGAGGGGTATAGATATGACCCATAATTTTGAAGAATTCCACTGCCTGTAATATTGAAAGAAGCAGGAAATTATTCCAGAATATTCTTCGGGGGAGGGTAGGGACCTTGAAAGGGAAATGACCTAAAGTTTGGAAGTAGAACTGTTAAAAACTCACCTGTCAAAGTCACAGTACATACACAATAAATCTTGAATGAATTAGACAAGAGGGATGAGAAGTGTTTACTTCATAATCTTTGACTAATGAGTATTCTTACTTAGGTTACTGGGTAAACCAGGTACAAAAGTTTAGAATTTAGGAAGATTAAAATTTTTGTCGTGATATGTATAGTTGAAATAATTTTAGAATTAGATCTTATAAATCTGAGCTATCACATTTGTAATAAAATGAGTACAGTTATTAGTGACGGTCCTGATAAGCCCAAAGAATGACCCAGAAACTCCTTAAAGAAACTGATAGTAATGACAACAAAAGAAATAGATTCGAGAAATAATGACCCTCTCTTTATACAAAATTAGAACTGGAAACTAAGTCTTGTATCAATATTTATTAACTAGCGTTAGTATGCTAAGTATTATGTACACTATTGTCTGGACATTGCCTAGTTCCTGAGGAGTTTAACTTTGTTACACAGAGATACAATAACGGTGTTCTGATTTCTCTTTAGAGGTTTTGTAAGCTGTTTTTATTTTACCTCTCTTAAACTGTACATTTTTTTTCTTGGCTTAAAAATACCTTCTTAATTATATTTGTTAGAAGTGTGAGGCAGACACATTCTCATTCCACTTGTTGAGTTCATTTAATAAGATTTATTGGGTACTTACAGTGTCTTGAGTATTTAACCTTTAATCATTTGTATTTCTTAAACTTCAGATCATTTTATAAATGATCCTTTTGCTGTCCCTGCCAAAAAAAAAAACCCACCTCCCCCATCAGAAATAATTTGCTGTTTCAAATAAGCAGTCAGTGGGATAATCCAAAACTATGGATCATATGTAAATTTTTCAACCCAAGCACTTGAAATATTTATAAATGTTTATTTTCTTAAATGATTACTGGTTATGTTCTTATCATGTTGCACATTTTTGCTTAGACCCAAACTTGTATTGGTCAAAACGTAGAGACATTTCATTAAATGCACATAGAGCTGCTGAAAAGTTAGTTTTTTGATTTTTATGAGTGAAGACAAGTTTTCTCTTTTCAGGATAATTCAGGATAACAGAGTTTTGGCCGATTTTGACTCTCCTTTCACTGTAGATGTAAAGATAAATTCAAAAACCTTACAGTATGTATAGTTCACTGTACTTTTAATTCTGGACTCACCTTAGTTGTCTGATCTTGGCAAGTTGCTTAGTCTTGGTGAGCTGCAGTTTTGTCATATGTAAAAAGGGAATGGTGAAACTAAGTAGAGTTGTTTTGAGGATTAGAGTTTATAAAATGTCCAACACATAGGCCCTTAATAAGTTGAATCCTTTGAAGTCTTCCTTCCCTATTATTTTTGTTGTTGTTCTCAAAGCATCTTACATAGGGTGGACTCTAGCATGTTATTCTTTACATTGTTTCAGTCCCACTAGCTGGGAACTCACTCTTTAAGGGCAGGGACTCCTAGGGTTTACCAGAAAGTGTGTTGCCAGCATATGGAATTAGTTATCAGTAGTCAACTAACATTTATTGGGTACCTACTGTGACTGTGAGCTGGGTTATATGTAGGAGCTACAAAGTCAGGAATCATGTCTATCTTTTGGAAGCTTATTGTCTAGTGACTTTCTCCACGTAGCACCATTTTTTTGTGAAATCCTATCACATAATGGAGCCTCATTCTTCTGAGCTCTTCTAGTCTTGGGGCAGTTCTTTGGACTCAACACTTCCAGCGGTAGCTGCTATTCTAAAGAATATTGTTTTACAGTACAGTATTTATACAACTCTTTGGCATATGTGAGATAGTTTTTTCTTTTTTTCCTGTTAAGATTTTATTTTTATTTGACAGACAGAGATCACAAGTAGGCAGAGAGGCAGGCAGAGAGAGAGGGGGGAAGCAGGCTACCCGCTGAGCAGAGAGCCCGATGTGGGGCTCGATCCCAGGACCCTGGGATCATGACCTGAGCTGAAGGCAGAGGCTTTTTAACCCACTGAGCCACCCAGGCGCCCCTTGTGAGATAGTTTATCTCTCTACCTTGGTCCTACTCTGTAATCCAAAACCTGGCACGTTGTGTGTGTGTGTCTGTGTGTGAATGGCTATGTATTTAAAAAAAAAAAAAAAAAAGAAATTTACTTTGTCAGTTGCCTGTAAGTACTTTGGTATTTTTCTTTGGTGATTATCATTCTTTCTTCTGGTTCTAGGTTTATAGAAGTTTCAAACCTCAGTAGGACTATTCTTGAGGCCAGTCACTCCATTTATTTTATACATGAAGAAATTGGAAGTGCAAAGTTTTGAAATGATTTTCTTAAAGTCTACCCGGTGATAGAGCTAGAACCGCAGTCTGAGTCTCTGGACTAGAGTTCAGAACTCTTTGCATTCAGTGGTGCATGTTCTGTTCTACCTTTTGAGAGGAGTAATTTGCCTCTATTTGAATCTTTTCTACATTATTATTAGAAGGCAGACTTAACAAGATGCCATCATTGGGCCTTTTCTGAGCATAACAGTGCAGGAAGTGGGGCTTTTTCTTCTAATAAAGGAAGTCAAGTAAAATTACAGTAAGTAGTAATGGTATTAATCTACAAACATACCCTATGTCCGGAACAGATGTTTAAAATACTTAAAGATGTTATATGATTTCTTAAATGAAATAACTAATTAATAAATAGATGATAAATTTCCTTGCCAACTTTAATTTTCATTTACCCTCAGAAATGTTACCTGTAGTGTGTTTTGATCTAAGTTATCATTAATAAGTAACACCATTATGGATAATGAGTCAAAATGAACTTTGTAAGTTTAAGGCCAATCTGAGAATGAAATAAAGCTAATACCTTTTTTTGGGAATATTGCTGTTTGCAAATGAGATTTGGTTGACAGTTGTTTCTGTTTGATGCTAAGCTTTGTGACTGTGAACTCCCTAAAATTATATATAAATTTTAAGTTTCAGAGTCTCAACAGGTTCAGTGAACAAAAGCCACCAAGAACCACTGAAGTGGAGGAAGAAGCACTAACTTTGGTGTCAGAAGATGCATGGGTTCATCCTTCCAATCTAGCTTCCTAGCTGGTCATGAGCAGGTCATTTACCTTTCAAAGCCTTTGTTCTGTTAACGTCTGTTAAATGAAGGTGATACTTGCTTTGTCTCTTTCAAAGGATTGTTTTTTCAGATGTAATGATTCTCAAAAAAGTAGAATAATACTGTATAAAGTGAACGTATATGTGACTTAGTGACTTGCCCAAGAAAACAAGTAGGTTAGTAATAAGCAGGTGATTGGAACATTGGTATATTTTCATGCTTTCTCTATAAACATTTTTTACTTTCATAAGTATTATTTTGGGAATTACTTAGTATGTGAGTTTATTTTAAATTTGTTAACTACCTTTGAAATAAATAGTAAGATCTTAATAATACTGATTCAGTATTACTGATTACTGATTCAGTATTACTAATCCTAAGTCAAAAAATGCCTTCTGTAATTTGCTTTACCTTTTTTTTTTTTTTTTTAAGATTTTATTTATTTGAGAGAGTGCAAGAGAGAAAGCAGTAGAGAGGGGAGGGTCATTCAGAGGGAGAAGCAGACTCCTCACTGAGGAGAGATCCTGGCACAGGACTCGATTCCAGGACTCCAGGATCATGACCTGAGGTGAAGGCAGACATTGAACCAACTGAGCCACCTAGACACCCTAATTTGCTTTACTTTTGACCTCTCCTGTTAATTTGAATTAAGGTGAATCGTAAGGTTGACTGAAAGTAAAAGAGGTTTTAGAGACATAGATTCTTATTGGGTAAGATTATTACAAAAGTTCCATCCTAGGAAGTCTTCTGGAATCTATAAGATAGCGCATGTGGCTCATAGAAAAGAATCCTATGTAAGACTTTATTAAAGTCAACATCTATGCCACAAATAAAAAGCATGGAAATTGCATTTGAGCCCTGAACACTT